AACTAAATCGGTTTTGCCTAAAGAGCACTTTAAATGCAGAATAACCTCTGTTGACCTGATAATTCCCCTATATTTAGTAAGGAGAGTTGTTACAATAGTGGAAGCTCAAATTCATTAAACAAACAGCATACATAACCAAGACCAAAGTAAGGTGTTGCTAATGTTTCTTAGAATCCCAAAACATGATCTTTCAAACAAAAATATTTGCATATTGCACATTTAAAAGGCCTGTAACAATATCCTGTGTAAAATAACCTGTAAGTAGGCCTTTGGATCCATAGGATCTGTAGCATTTAACGATCATAGTAGTGATAGACTTTATTCTTATATGAAATAGCCACCAGCAAGTGATAAAACCATACAGCACAGCCCACACAATGAGGCGTTAATGGTTGATCTGAATGCTGGAATAGATAGAGCATGTGGCTGAAATAAGTAGTATTAAAAGACACAGATTGTATTTCCAGATGTTTCAGAAATTACTGCATACAAACCCTCAGTTATGCACCTTTAGGAATGGGAGATTATTTTCCATTCACAGCAAGAGTTAGTCTTAATCGTTAGAATTTAAATATACAGAATTGCTAATGGTGACTGAAACTAACCTAGTACAACTTTCCTTTGATTACAAGCTGGTTTTCAGGTGCTGTTGTGTCTGGCAAGCAGCAGGGGTCCATACTTGCGGCAGGTAAAATTGCTGGGCAGCTGCAAGATTCATACATGAAATAATGGTGATTTTTGGTAAAAAAACATGGGTCAGATTTTGTTTCAGAACATCGCTCTGAACCATCCATAGCTTGATCAAATATAAATTTTGTGGGTTAAACTGCCCTTTTCTAACTTCCATGAAATTAATTTCCTTAATTTTCCTGTGTTAGTGTAACAATCTATAGGATGAAAGAAGGGATTAGAATGGAAGATTCAGGAAATTCTGCATATACACACAACCACCCTTTCGTGTAATTTGTCTTGGTACACCTGGGGGCAAAGCAGGAAGGGATGAAGGTCAAAGCAATCTGTGTAGTTTCTTGACTCTCGCTGGCCAAGCTCCTGCGGGGCCGGGCGCTGGAGGGGGAAAAAGCCGTGGGGAGATCGCGTACCGCGAAGCAGACCTGCCAGAAGGGTCCCCGGGAGCACCGCCTTCTCTGGGGAGGTGGAGAAGGGGGGCATGCTGCCCTCAGCAGTGAGGGAAGCTGGGCGGGGAAGCCGGGACACTTCCTACCTCTGTCTGTGTCCCCAGGCTCCCGAAGCGTGAATGCTGAGTCTTACACGGTCTATTAATAAGGTAATGTCTCTCAGGTCATCCTAGAAGATCTCGGATTCCTGAATGTGTGTCGGGGAGATAGTAATTAGCCCTTTGATACCTGAGTACATTTGACCTTGTTTAACCATCATCTGCAAGCTCCTTTCCTACTGACACTACTAATAAAATCTTTCTTGGTTATCCTTTCTCTCGGAGCAGTAACAAAACGAGCCACCTGAGGTGATGTTACTGTAGGCTTGGCTAGGTTTACAAAAATGTTGCGGAAAATAATAATTGAGCCAGTGTTCAGGAGTTTGGTGTGTGGTGTTTTTTTTTTTTTTTTTTTTTTTTTTTTTTTTTTGTGGTTTTTTTTTTTTTTGTTGTTGTTTTTTGTTTTTTTTTTTTAATGAAGGGAAAAACCAGCAATACTTCACCTTTTTTATCTTAAAAAAAATAAATAAAAGGAACAGGTTGGTGAAGTTATTAGCAGGAAAAAAATTCAAGGTAGCTAGTAGTGAGGATATTTGGACTTTAAGTATAAAAACTCTGGAATTTGTCCTGCCGGGGTGAGGGGACGAGAAATGTTGATGTAGCACAGGGGTTCTTAAGAATAAGGTGAAAAAGTAATAGAACTTGAAAATGGCCTTGATTAGCATAGAAGGATTTTTCTTGGAGGCAGAAAGTGTCAGAGTATGTTAGCCATTGCTAAAGGAACTTGAAGGTTACGTAAAGGAAATTTAAAACAGTGTTTTACTTATTTAAGCAAAGAAAGGTCAGGGGAAGAAGTGGAGGTGCTGTGCGCTTAGCGTGTGTAGGTGTAACTATGAAACCCTAAACAACTTTGCTTTAGCTTACAAAAAGAGGAAGGAGATTTAATTCTAGCCAAAGAAGGAAAAATAAAAAAAGTGATCCAAACTGGAAATTGCATTAGTTTGGCATCAGCAGCCTGCCAGGCTCTGGAATGGGGCTTGGTGGGAGGTGAAGAAAACTAAGAACATAAGCTGTTTATGAGAGTGTTAGTGGATAGGGTATACTGGGAATTTTGAGGAAAAGGGGCTAAAGAGTTCATTTCTTTGAGTTCTCTCTAGTTGTTCTGAAATTCAATGAAGCAATTGATGTACTGCTGCTTGGGAAATACCCGCTCAGAAGATGGACCCTAGTAAAAATAGAAGGAGGGTTGGGCTAAAGGTTTGGATGAGGTAGAAGAGGCTGACAGTTTGTATACTCCTTGGAATCAGTCAGCCTCATGGTTGAGTAAGGCTCTAAATGTTGACTCTGAGGGTATTTCAAATGCAGCAGCTCAGCAGTCCATCTCTCTTGTGCCATTAAAATGTGCCTGTGATACCACAACAGCAATCACTGGCTTCTGCCTTACACCATTCAGCAGTAGATATCAAAGCATTTCACAAAGTTATATGATAGTTACTACCATTACTGTTACATACAGAAGGAAATTGAAGTATAGAAAGTAGCAGGTAGGAGACAGAGTTGGAAATAAAGCACAACAATTAGACTCAGTGGGCTACTTGATCTCAAGTGTGATATTGTGGTGTATAGGATTGTGCTATGTTCCTATGGCCCAAGTAAGTAGGAAAACTTACAAGTGAGGGGTGTTAAGTGACTCTTCTCCAGAAAAAAGGGAACATATTGTTCAGCAGTTTTTGTAAGTGGAGCTATTTCTAAAGGTTACATATTTCAAAGCTTTTCTATTTGGAGTTTATGAAGGCATTCATAAACCAGCAACTTCGTAGGAAAAATATGTAAACTGACAACATAATATTTTATGGAGTTCATCTTCCTGCCCTCCCTTCCCCCATAGCTCAGTGTGATCCATTCAGACAGATTTGGAGTTACAGAAGTAATTTTCTAGCTGACATTCTTTGCTTAGCATTTGCATTTCAAAATCATTTGTCACTGTTGCTATCTGAAAGAGAATACAGAAACAGAATCTCAGGAGTGCTTTTGTTTAAAAAAACATACAGGATTTGTATCATTGTTAAGATGGCTTGTAGTAATTAAAATGTGGCTGTGTTTCATGATATAGTGACGCTACAATGTCAGGGTCTGGTACTGTGTGGCAGCAGCTCAGCAAATGGGTATTAAAGCAGGTTCTTGTGCATGCACACACACACACACACACACTGTTGTAAGATACAAATTTGTAGTTTTCATTTAGGCTCTGCATTTTGGAAGCAAAGCCAGAGACATGGAACCAACAGTTACACAGCTTTTAAAATTGAGCAATTTCTTCTCCAAAACAACAACAACAGCAAAGGCTTTTTATGTCCTTGCATCGATGTTAAAATGCCCTAATGAACAAACCCAGCGTGGGCATGCTGCACTGCAGCTACTATCTAGTAGTATTAGTTGCACTGATTGTAGGTTCTTAAAACATCTTTATTTGTTCCCAAGAATCCTCAAGCACAAATGATGCAAATATCATAATATAAAGGCAAGGTAACGAAACCAATATTGTTTTATTATGTGCAGTGAAACACCTACTCTTTATCATTTGGAATGCGTAAGTTTGAGTAAGCAAAGTTATTTTAAACTCATAAGTCAGTTATTGCAAACCACAGAAACACCAGAGGTTTGTCTTTGCAGTCCCTACGTTTGCAGAATTAGGATCTCAATTAGACAAGAACTCTGAATCAAAGCTGAATTGTTGGAAAGGTGGGACAAGAAAGAAGTTATTGCAGCAAAGGAGAAATTAAGAACTGGAAGAACTGGGTTTTATTGAGAGTCTCATAGACTTGTGGGTAGCCATGAAGGTCTAATTTGCAGAAGATATTAGTGGTGAATCACACAGAAGCCTGTTAGGTCAGCACTGAAACAGATGGTGAAATCTGAGGGGCAAATGAAAGAGCAGAGAAAACAGCTTTGCAGTTATTTATGGGAGTGAACTCAAATTACAGCTGGAGATTATGCTTCAGTATATACAGAAATCATTAAATTTGTAACCTGAAATGCAGATATTTTTAGTGTCAGGTAATGTGGTGGTATAAAGACGTGAGGAAGAGTGCCATATCTAGGAGAACTGTTGGGTAAAATACAGGTACTGTTCTCCTTGCAAAAAGCACTTGAACTTTTAAATAAGTTAATGTATAAGCACCTGCATTTCATTTCGCCTGTGTTACCAGTTCAGCTAATTCATTTAAGGTTGATTTAGACAAAGACTGACTATGTCACACCTACATTATCTGGAATTTCTTTTGAAAGTCTGCTGCCCACAGTTTAGCGACTAATGATTCTACTTAATTTGTGTTTTGCTGCAAGCTAAGCACTAACATAGAATTAAAGGAAGACTTTAATAAGAGTAATACATTGACCAACCAAATTTTTTTCTGTTTCAAGTGTTTCCTGTGTACATTCCATGGAAAAGTAAAAGGATTTGAAAGCTACGTTCTAGAGAAAGTTGTGTGGTTTCTGTTACACAGAGAAATGCAGAAATTTCAAGAAACTGCTAAGCATGTCACTGTTGCCCAATTGAATTCTGCTTGCTCAGATGCTGTGATTGCAAGAAGATACAGTATTCAGAAGAAACTTGGCAGTGGAAGCTTTGGAAGTGTTTATCTGGTTTCTGACAGGAAAGCAAAACAAGAAGAATTGTAAGTAAACCCTTCACATGCTTTAAATAAAAATGTTTGGAACATATTTCTTTCATTGTAGATGTTTTCTTTGTATTTGTGTCTCATCTCTGGTGTTATGTTGCAGCCTTAAGTGTTTAACTTTAGTGAGGATGTAAGATAGGAGCAGACTTTATACTGACTCAGCATTCTAACTGAATCTGGTTTTGCTTAGAATAGTTCATCTGGTATGTCTACCTCATTTTGCTTTTATCTAAGTCCTTTTTAATTTCCTTGTGCAGACAAGACAGAATGGAGGTAGAAAAATCTCAGACCCTCATCTCCAGAGTCCCATACACCTCTGAAGCTTTGTAACAAATAATAAAATGAATAAAAGCATATGTAACTTACCTATTCCCTGGTATCATACCTTGGACAAGTGGCTGATGTAAAATACATGCTGTGGAAAAGACCCTTGTATTTACTTAGAACTGAGATAAATTCTATAATTGTCCAGAGAAGAAGCAGGGAAAAGATAATATGCTGGGTTTCACAAATTTAAATTCTTTGTAACAAAATTGTTTGTTAAAGGCTTAAAGCTTTATAATTTATAAGCTATCATTTCAGAATTATGTCAATATATATGTGTGGATAATATTGTATAGTTTACTTTTGAGGTCTTTGTATTTTATAAATAAACTCTGTTCTGGAAGTTCTTTCTTCAGAACACTTACTAAAGTGCTAGGCATTTGCCTTCCATCCCATGCTTATCTACCTTTATGAACACTGTCTTACTGTCTTTAAAAATGTGGAAAAAGAGCATCCTTAATCTAGTCAGGTCCAGCTGCTGCAGTACCTAGCTCTATAATACTTCATTCAGTTACACATGCCCATTAAAGCATTGAAATGGAGCATGAAAATGTCAGAATTTCTGAATGTGGACTTCTCTCTTCACTGCTGATGATTTCTTATTTACTGTAGGTAAGGTTTTTTAATAACACTTGATCAGATGCTTTCAGGAGTTGATGCTGTGTCATTGTAAGGACTCAGATTGTTGGAGGAGGCTCAGAAGAAACTGTACTGCAGTGATGTCCTATTTTTTTATAATTGAGTTGCCTAAATGAAACCTGAGAAGGAAGTTACAGAAATTCCAATAAACACCTTTGCATTTGCTGTATACCTAACTGACAGGACATTAAAAAAAAAAAATGCTAGCAAATCTGGATTTTCTTTTATTTATTTGTTTACCTGCCTGAATTTGGACAGGTCTCATCAGTTTGTTTGATAAACACTTGAAGTTCTAAGGCTTGGACAACTGGCCCAAGCCAGAGCTGACTGATAGATGAATCCTCTATGTTTTATAACTGAAAACCATTGTGCTAGTAGGTATTGTACTAAGTTATAACAACACGCTTATGCTGATGTAAAAAGTACTAAAGTATTGAAATACTGAAGCCTGAACAACAGGCCCCGAGCCAAAGCTGTTAACTTAGTCTGTAGTCATTAACAAAGTATGTAAACTCTCTAATGAAAGATACAGCTTAGACGAAATCAGTAGTGAGGAGAGAAGGTATCCAACTTCCCTTGTTTAGCCCTGTTCAAGGCTGAGAACCCAAGTATCTGCCCTTGTTAGAAGCTTCCTTGGTCTCCACCCCCTGAGCCCTGGCCAGGCTTTGGGTGGAACCCAGGAGAATGAAACCAGAAATTTTCCGCTCAAAACAAAGGTGCCAGGTATTCTGGCCTGTCGATCTCTGGTATATAAGGCTGCACCCACTCACAGCGACACTGGAAGCCTCACGTACGGGTAGACGCACCGCATAGGATTTCCCCCTTGCCGGGACAGGCTCTCCAAACCCTCACTAACCGGGGCTGCCCAGCCACTGTGGGGCTGGATGATGGTAACATATGCAAGTGGTGATGTATTTTTCTTAGTCTCCATTCTCTCTCTTGTGTAGTAATGATTTGATGCATTACCCTGTTTTTTCCTGTTTTTCAGTGCACTATTCTGCTTTTTTTTTTCCTTACTGCGTATTTTCTGTATTACACTGTTATATTACTTGGTTATCACTAGTAAAATACACCTACTCTTTTCATTCTGGTGTCTGAGTTTAACTGGTATCCTTAATCAGCAAAACAACACTTTAGGACTCTGAAGCCACAAAGACAAAATAACATTTTCAGAGTGTTGACGTTTCTGTATGTGAGTTTGAAGTTGGGTACCTGCATTACTGGCTGGACTTCCTGTTGTGTAGAACTGTGTTTATCAATTTGATACTTACATGAAAAGAAATTTAAACGTGAATAATTTTGGTTTTATCCAATAAAATTTGTGAGGTTTTCTGTTTAAAGTTTGAAGTATCAATGTGCTTTTCAGCCAGAAATACATTCTTCCTTTAAATATAGGGGTCTCTTGGTCCTTATTGATGGACACATTAAAGAGTAATTTACATGATAAAAGAGATTTTTCTGATTAATTTGTGCCTCACTTTTGCTGTATTGTTGGCAATATTTCTTGAATAAGTGTGCAGCCAAGACATAATTCTTTCATTTTTGTTCCTTCTACACCAGGTTACAGCTTCTCAGCTCCTTGGATTAGGGCTAAAGGCTACTACGCTCTTAGTTTTTTTCAGCAGGCGTTTGGATCTCTCTTAGCCTTAACTATGATTTTCTATAAAAATGTTCTTTAATGAAAACTTTCATTAAATACAATAGAAAATATTTTTTCTTTTTCTGCTAAAATAATTTATCTTGCAAGTAGGGTGACAGGAACTACCTGAGCTTGTAAGACCGTTAATGAGCCCATTCTTAGAATATTAACAGTATAGTGAAATGCATGTTTTCAGACATTTGCTGCTATAGCACAAGCTGCCAAACCTCAAAACCAAGGAACGTGTGCTTTGCCTTTAAGTAATTATTATCTTTATTTCTTTTCCTGAAGAATTTTTCTTTGAGAACTTCAACTTTGAGTGGCCATGTTTTGGACAAACATTCACTGCCTGAGGCATTTCATGCCTGTGTTTTGTTAGGGCTGGGGCTGAGCATGTCGTCTGCCACCCTCAGGACAGAAGCTGCGTACCAAATGACATTCTTTTTTTGTTTTGTCAGTCTCTTTTTGTGACTACAATATTTAACAAACCAAGGTGCTAGTGTAATACTGTAGTTCATACTTTCATCACTAGAGGGTACTTGTGTATCACGGTTATTCATGCCTTCTGAGCCTCAAATGTACGTTGAAGAGGGGATTCCCCCAACTTCTATCACTTTTATGCAAATAGATGACAAAAGTACTGGCCCAGGTGAACATGAAAGCTCAGGTAGCATAATGAGATAGAGTGTAGACACTTTTAAAATACTGGTTTCTTAAGGTGGTAAAATATGTTAGAAGTCACATTCTCAACACTGCTTTCAAATCAGAAAATAATCTCTTATGGAAATATACTGGTTACTGCTTCGGTTATATTTCCCATTGGGAAGTATATATATACATCTGAATAAAAAATTAGGAGGTTGTTTCTTACACTTTAAAAAGAGTAATCTTAATGTAGCTCTGAAATCACTTTGGCAGAAAAATGGAATGGAGATATTGAGGTCCCAAATGACCTCAGCAGAATTAGAAAACTATTTTTATTGTTTCAGAGATGATCTAGAACATGCTGAGGCAAATGTGATATGCAGTGTGAATTTAGCCACAGACAGTTTCCTGAAAACTGCTGTTGTCTAAAGCACTGTGAAAGAGCATAGGAATAAATCATGAGAATACAAATTCCCAAGAAGAGCAGCATCTCGAATATTGGCACAGAAGCTGTTCAGGGATTTCTTTTTCAATTTTTCATTAGTGCAATGTCTACAGAATGAGTTAATGCAGAGACTAACAATGGTTATAATGTAATTTCATATATGCTCAGCAAAGCTTTTGCTTGATTTTAGGAATAGTTCTGGGGCATGCCTTGTACTTCATTACCCTTTAAGCATCTCAGCTGTGGTGAGCAAGTTGTTATACAGAGTGCTTCAGCTGGGAGGGAGAGAGGGTTGATAATTTGGGGCATGCCTCAAGTTAACAGGCATATTTCACATAAAACTCCATGTAGAGCTGCTCAGGCCAGCAATGCCTGCCTCTCTTAAAAGTACCTGCCAGCTTCATGCTGATGTCCAGTTCTGTGTACAGATGAGATTGGGATTGCTGACCTTCTGAGATTATGCTAGATCAGAGACATCCAGTGTGATATGGTTGAGTTGCATATTCTATAGGATTATGAAGTACAAGTATAGTAGCATATGGTAGGTTTGTTACTACAAGTCCCTCTTAAGTGTTGCATTGTATGACACATTCCTTGCCTGTTGCTTTAACTTCCTAATTTGTATTTTTTGTAAATTGTATTTTTGGGTAATTTTTTATTTTCATGGTGCTGTCTGATTTCTATAATCTTGCCTTCTTTTTTATTAGATGACTCTGAAAACCTTTTTCATTTTAATTTTGCATTCTACCCTGTCTCAACTAGAAAATTATGTACTGCTGTAAACAGCTGTAGTTACAGACATAGCTGAACACCTAGATATCTAAGCCAGGAAAATCCCTAGTCATAAACCACATCTTGTGTTGATGAACTCTGTTTTCCTTTAGAAAATAATAGTTGCAAGTCACTGTATATTATTAAATATCCTTTCATAGGTTTTGTTCATGTTTAAGTTTACAATAGCTTCTCTGCTTGTATAGCTTGTGTTTTATGTTCTTCCCAGGTATGTTATCCACAGTGGAGAGGGAGAAAACCAAACCAGTGATTAGTATTCTGGAGTCAGATGGTGCTACCATGAGGTTGTTTCAGACTGGCTGTTAGACTTAAGGTTCACACCTCATTCTGAGATATCTGCTTTGTACAGACATGTGATGAATAAATTTTCTGAGTTTCATAATATTAAACTTCCTAAAAAGAAAAGTGCAAGTTCTTGATTTTAGTTTTATGACTAGGCAGCGTGACTTTTGTCTTCCATGTTTATGTAGAATGTTATGCCATCCGCTGTACATCTTCTACAAGTGAAAATAG